GGGTGGTATCGTTTAGCCAAGTCATTCGCTCATGCAAAGTTAAGATCCTGCTGAATACCAGGTCTCAGATGCAATGATAGGAACTCAAAGAGGTGATAACCTGATCCCCTGGGAGATCCCAAACCAGAGGGAAAACAGACATGGGACAAACAGTTGCTCCAACATGCCCTTGGTGCTCTTGCTGGCAGTTGGGGAGGAGGAGGAAAATGGGGAGCAGGTCAAGGAGGAGCAGGGGAAGTTTTGTAGAGTAGCTGCTTGTGCCAGATCTAGACAGGTGAGTGGCTACTTGCCAGGCAGAGCTGCTGGAGAGAGACCTCCAGGCTGAAGCAGCAGCCGTGCAAAGGCCCAAAGGCTGCCACAGCCTGGTCCTGCCTCAGACTGAGTCATCAGGAGCTGAAGGTCCACATGGGAGAGACCCCAAGGGGAAGGCCTGCCATAGCCTCTCCCACTCCCTTCCTCCCCCTTGTTGGGGTGAGCTTGTCCTCACAGCCGACCCATTGGCTCAATCCTGCTCTGAAGGCCTTCTCAGCCAAGAGGATGAAGCTCAGCAGGAAAACATCCTCAAGTCAGTAGGGAGGAAACTAAAAGAAAGAAGGAAAAGAGGGAAAAGCCAGGTAAAATAAAAACATTAAAGCAAGTGCCACCAAGTCTTTGGAGTTTAAAACTCTGATCTCCTTCCCATCTGTTAAATCTGGGTGATAAATACCTACTTGGCAAAGCTGCTGTGAGAAGTCAGGGTGCCCTGAATACGAAGCACCCAGCACGTGGCAGACACATCATAAAGGGTGGCTGTCATCCCTAAGGCAGGCCGTGAACAATTGCAACTTAATAAAAGAGTTGAGACTATCAGGAGATGAAACTGTGAAATGCAGTTAAATGATCCAAAAGACACTGAATCCTCAGTGTGATAGTTACTAGGCTCTGGGAGAAAAAGGAATAGAACGCAAATTAGAGTTTTTGCTTTCTTGTTTATTTTTCAGTTAAAAATGAAGCAATGGACATCATGCAGACATAACTGGGGATCCTCAGGGTGAGCCCAGAGCTGCAGCCCTCCAGGGGCTCTGGGAGGACTGTCCCAGAGCAGAGTCTAGGACACTTGGCTGCCCCCTCCCCCTGTCACCTACCCCCTGCCTGCTCTACGTTTATGTACAGGGAGAAGTCAGGTCCTTCAGAACAGGCCCAGGGAGCCACCAGCCAGCTCCTTCTCACAACACAGCCTCGGCTCAGCACGCCAGGTGCGGGGCTCCTGGGTGGAGTTTGAGACTCTACCATACGGTTGTCAGGACTCTGTCTGCTGCAGCCCCAGGGGACACCACAAAAGTCTTGACTGAGCCTAGGACATAGCATGGGGTGGAGGACAGACCCCAGTGGGTCCCACCATCATCCATACAGATTTGATGAGCCCTCCTGAGTGACCCTACACATCCCAACTGGACCATCTTGTGGGGATAATGGACCCCTCTGCACACACTCACAGGCACATCCCTCTGGGCTAGGCTCCCTCGGCTTTGGTGCTTCAGGGTTTGCGGCTAAGTCTGGGTCCCCCTTTCCCAATCCTAGTCCCTTTGATCACACTATCAGCTACTTCTTTTCACCCTAAGGATACTCAGCTCTTTGGCCTGTCTTCACATGACCACCCCCTACCGACTGTAGCAGACAGCTGTGGCTTATTGGAAGGAAGGCGGGCAGTGTGCTCAAAGAAATATACCCGTGGCCCTGGCGACCCCCAGCAAGTCCTGCAGGCTGTGTTTCTCCAGTTTGCCGAACAAGAGGGACAGGCCTCAGCTTAGCCCTGTCCTATTCTCTGAGTTAGCACAAGGACCCTCTGACGACCCTCTTACGGTGTTAATACCCAGGAACAAGTGTGCTGTACCTATTTCTAGGGCAGACAGCCCCTAACTGGATACAAGGTGGGGTGATTAACTATCCTGATTTGCCTGGGACTGAAAGATTTCCTAGGATGTGAGACTTTCAGTGCTAAACCCTACAGTCCCAGGCAAGCCAGAAAGGTTGACCAGCCTAGTGCAAGGGTAGGAAGATTTCTTTTTCCCTCTTCTAAATTTCCTGGGGAAGGTGGGGACTGTTTTCTGGCTGGTTTTCTCAGGCTAATCCAGCACTACCAAACCCTTTAGGGGGAAGGTGACAAGAAAAGGAAGGTTATGCTCATGGTCACATAAATAGCAGTAGCGTCTTTGCCATAAGAAGAAAACATATGGGTATTGTTAGATGCAAGATTTAAAAAAAAAAAAATCTATGTGCACTTGCATATCCCACATCCAGAGGGCTATTGACAGAAACCTGCCAGAGATGAGCACGGCCAGGGTGGTGGGTCCACCAGGCAGCAATAGTTGAAGGAACTGAGGGCTTTCAGTCCCAACAGGGACCAGCTGACGTGGCTTTCTGCACCTCAAGGGCTGGACAGGGAAAGGGAGCAGACGACCCCGTGAGACCCCAGACATGGCCCCAGGTAATGTGGCAGAGGGACACAGAGAGGTATCCAAACCCACTGGATCTTCCTTGGCCAATGTGGCAGCTGCTGGCCACTCGTGGATTTTGAGCTCCACATTTGAAATGTGGCTAGCACAGTCGGGATGAGCTGGAAGGGTAGAATACACAGGACTCTGAAGTTTTAATGTAGATTATATATTGGAGCAATAATATGTTGGATATAATAGGTTAAGCTATAGTAGTAAAATTAGTTTCACTTGTTTCTTTTTTACCTTTTTTTATTGCCTACTAGAAAATTTTAAATTAATGTATATGGCTGTATTCATTTGCTAGGGCATCTGTGTAGCAAAGTGTCACAAACTGGATGGCTTAGACAACAGAAACTTATCATCTCAAGTTCTGGAGGCTGGAAGTCCAAGATCAAGGTGTCGGCAGGGCTGGGCTCTTCTGAGGGCTCTGAGGGAGGATCTGTTCCATGCCTCTCCCTGAGCTTTGCTGGTGATCTTTGGCTTCCTTTGCAGGCACAGGCACCACCCCAGTCCCTGCCTTCTGCTTCATGTGGTGTTCTCCCTGTGTCTGTGTCCAAATTTCCCCCTTTTTATAAGGACACCAGTTATACTGGATTAGGGCTCACACTGATGACCTCATTTTAACCTGATTACCTCTGTACAGACTCTATTTCCAAATAAGGTCCCATTTTGAGGTACTAGCGGTCAAGGTCAAGGACTTCAACACATGAATTGGGGGGGGACACAATTTAGCCCAAAACAGTACTGGACATACTCCTGGTGGACAGTGCTGCTCTTGCTTATAAACAAGCTCATGAGCCTCTGTCTGTGTTCTCTCCGATACAGCCTTTGAAAATGACCTGTCCCACCTCTGGAAGACTCAGGCAGAAAGGATTGATTTTGTGAATTAAAATCTACACATTGCTTCTGAGCATCTACCCTATGCTAAGGTCTGCACTGGATTCTGAAACCATGTGAGCTCGGCTCTGGAGTCAGGCGGATACCACCTCTTGTTAGCAGGGTGCTTTTGGCAAGTTGCTTAACCACAGCAACTTCAGCTTTGTTTGCAAAATTAGAAATAGATGCTTAGCCCAAGATTTGCATGTCAGTGCCTATGAAAGCTGTTGCCACATAGCAGTCATCCACTTCAACCGCTAGGAGGAGTGAGGTCCCTGTCATGGGTAGTGTTTAAGCAGAGGCTGGATGATCTCTTCTCAGGGAGGTTGACACTGGTTTCAACACAGGAATGGGGTCAGGGCTGGATCGTATCCTGGGCCCTTGAGCCATGGAGTGCAACAGAGTTTCCCCACCAAATGCCCTTGGTCCCCCAAAGAGGGGGAAGGGTAGTGAAATGCATTGAGCACCTGCCCCATCCCATTGTTAGAAACCACTGTCTCTCAAGATGGACCACATGTCTCCATTTCACAGGTGAGAAGACAGAGATCCAGGGCTGGCCCGGCATGACACAGATGGCAGATGGTGGCACCAGGACAAGCATGAAGGTTGCCCAAGCCCAGCACTTTCTCCTAAGGTCCTGGCATCACAGAGATTCATGCTCAAGAGCACAAACTTCCCTGAGTGGTTTTAGAGCACCATGGATTCATGCCCTGGAAGGATCCTATATGAGTTTCCTGTTGCTACTGTGATAAATTCCCACAAACTTGGTGGCTTCAAACAACACAAACGTTTTCTCTTATAGTTCTGGAGACCAGAAGTCTGGAATCAGTTTCTCTGGGCCAAAGTCCAGGTGTCTCTAGGCCTGGTTTCTTCTGGAAGCTGTAGGGGAAATCCCAGTTTCTTGCCTTGTTTAGCTTCTAGCGGTCACCTGCATTCCTTGGCTTATGGCCCCTTCCTCCATCTTCAAAGAGCATCACTTCAGTCTCTGCTTCCATCGTCACATTGCCCCCTCGTCTTCTGTGGTCACAGGACTCACCTGAATAATCCAGGATAATCTCCCATCTCAAGATCCTTAATTTAATCTTTAATCACATCTTCAGTCCCTTTTGTCATATAAGGCCACATTTACAAGTTTTGGAGATTAGGACTACGTATCTTTGGGAGCCATTACTCAGCCTACTACAGGCCTCAAGGACTGGTCAGACCAATCTTCTCATTTGAAAATCGGGAAACTGAGGCTTAGAGCACGGGCGTGCTTGGCCAAAGTCTCTCAGAGAATTGGTTACAGGACTGAGTCATGGGCTGCCTGGGGCTGGGAGGTTGTGCCCACCTCTGGAAAGCACGAGAGGGAACCAGGACCACAACACCCCAAGACAACAGGGTGGGAGGAGACCACCTAAACCCTGCTTGGCCTTTGCCTCGGGGCTGTGGGGGAGGGGCAAGCAGGTGCTTGGACAACGTCTGAGAGCTGCCCAGCTGGAGCATGCTGCAAATCAGGGCTTTTCAAACGTTTGGTCTCGCTCTTAAAACTTATTGAGGACTCCAGAGAGGTTTCATCTATGTGGTCATGACTAAATATTCACCATATTAGAAATTAAAACTGAGAAATTTTATATATGTTTATTAATTCATTTAAAATAAAACATAAGCCCGTACATGTTAACATAACATATTTTTAAGGAAAAAAAACCCAGTGTTTTCTAAAACAAATATTTACTGAGAAGAGTGCTGTTACTTTACACTTTTGCAAATCTCTTTAATGTCTGGCTTAGTAAAAGAAGAATAATTCTGTCTGCCTCTGCCTTCAGTCTGTTGTGATGTGTTGCTTTGATTGAAGTACATGGAGAAAATACAGCTTCACCAGATAAATAACTGGGAAAGGCAGGACTGTTTCAATTGCCTTTTCAGAAAATTGTGAATAATTGGTTTTGATTAATACATCAATCCTTCACAAATGCTGGTTTCTTTAAAAATTTCAGTGTGGAATCTGAAACCACATCAAGGATATTTTTGCACTTCGTCATATTAAAAACCATTGGTGTATCTTGAATTTCGAATGGATCTTTTATCCGTCCACACCTTTGTAACATCAGGCTTTGGTCACTAGGAAAATATTGATTTACTGAATTACGCAGATCTTCCAAATGCTGACAAATTTCATTGTACAATATCAAAGAATCTCATTTATTATCGCCTCCACCCTCATGTTGTAAAAGTCTTTCAGTATCGAGAAGCACATAATTATGGATACAAATTTTCCAAAATTCAAATTTCTCCTGAAACTTTTCAAGTTTTTTGTTGGCAACAAATACTGTCAACTGTTTTCTCCCAAATGTCTGCCAAACACCCAAGTCTGAATAACTGTAGTTTGCTTATCAGCTGTTCTTTCAAGGAGAAAGGGGATTCCATGAAGAAAGTAGTTTGCTCAGCTCACAGCTCAGCCCAGGTCCTGGGCGGACGAGGAGCATGCTGTGCGTGCTGGTCACGTAGAATGTTAACAAGACGTGCCCTCAGGGGTCAAGATTTAATAAACTTAAGAAATTGTACTGCTGCATCAAGAAAATAGTTAAGTGAAACCAGCCTTTTGTTTATTCCTGTATGGATATGGTGGCAAAGAATACAGTGACGGCCACTGCAGCACGGCACCCCTGCCCTGACCGCCACTCAGGGACCTGCAGTTTTGCCCCCCATGGCTTTTACACCATCATTGCAAATGTCAACACAACAAAAAAGGCAAATCACATCTAATTTTATTATGGAAACAGTTCTGAGACTCCTGCAGGGTTTGAGACCTGCCCGCAGGGCCTTTGGGCCACACTTGGAGAATCACTGTGTCATTTGATAGATGTTCTGGTTCCGACGTTCCTCCTAGATGTCCACCCAACTCCTCCTCTGTCCAGCATGGCCCCTGTGCTCCCACCACCCATCACTATCTCGCCTGTTTCCTCCTGGTCGGGGCTCCCTGCTGTACCTCTGGAAACTCCATCTGCCTCGGCCATGCGTCGGGCGTGGTTCCTCCCTGTCAACACATGCCTGCCCCGTGTCCCAGCCACTCTGATCTACGCTGCTTGCTGTGGTCCCTCTGGCCCACCAGCTTCAGTGCCTACAACTGGTAGGTTCAAGTTTCAGCTTCTCCATAATAAGTGGCCTTGGGTAACACATGTAACTTCTCTGAGCCTCAGTTTCCTCATTCATCAGATCCGGAGGAAAGAGGCACCTGCCCCTGAGAGTCCACGTGGGAAGTGAAGGAGACAATCCACATAGCACATGGCCCCCAGGCAGGCCCCCTCACTGTCCTCTGCCATCTTCACTGTGACTCTCAGGGCCATGCAGGCATGTGCCAACCACCGTGATTCCTCCTGCACCCCCTGACAGCCCCCGGGCAGGGCTGGCTGCTCGCCCAGGTCCCCTGGAGGCCTGGGAGTTTAGGAGGGCAGAGAAGGGCCAGAGCAAGGATGCGGAGGGGTGGAGGCCAGCCCAAGCACACTCTTGGGACCTACAACAGCGATGGGCTGTCTGAAGCTTCCCCAGCAGTATCTGCTCCCTGTCCTCTGGACCCATCAGGGAGCATTGTAAAAGCTTCACTGCTTTGTGAGGAGACAGTTGTTACTAAACACAGGTGGCCCCGTGGTTCACACTTCCTGGTGTGACCTTGCAGTGGCTGACCCTGCCCACACTGTTGCCTCGTAAACATCTGCTGGCTAGCTGGCTCCTGCATGGGGGTGGCGGCTCACTCCCCCAACTCCACGCTGCTTCCAACACCCTCTGTGCTACACCACGTCATTCATTCCCGGCAAAACAAGGCTGCCAGGCCCATTGGTCAAGAGCAATCTAGAGACCAGGGCTCCTTGGCTCAGTGGAAAGCCCAGGCTGTTAGCTCACACCAATGGGACCTCAGGGGCCGGCCACTGGGGCTGGTCCTTGCCTGGAGGATAGTAACCTGCTGGGGAGAGGGGTGATGGCATTTTTAATTCTGTCCTTGTTGGCAGGCTGTGGAGAGAGCTTGTGCAAGAAGGCCCAGGAGAGCTCACATGGGCGTTGCCAAAAGCAGGGGGAACCTTGGATTGGAGACCTTCGTCATCCCTCAGAGATGCTGGCCCAGGCCAAGTTGCAGGCTTATCTCACTCAGTGTTCAGCAGCCCGTGAGGAAGGGGCTGTCATTGTTTCTTTGGCAGGGGCCCTCTTGTGTTGGATCTTTTCCCCTAGACATGGGGCACTGGTCTTCCCAGAACCAGACCCCACCTGGGGCATCTCTGTGCCCCTACACCCGGCTCAGGCTGGGCAACAAGGAGGTGCTCAGCTCAGCTTCTGAGAAATGGAATTCTGTGCATGAGACCTGAGCTTCCCACCATTTCCTTCTGCCAGAGGAAGGGCTGGGGAATGGATCACCCTAAGTGTCCAGAAAGGGGTGCAGGGAAAGGTAGGGAAGGGAGCCAATGCTTGGAGAGTGCTTGTCCTGCTGAGCACTTTTATGTTCATACATTGAAACATTTAGATCTAATCATCACCACAACCCTATGAGGGTTTCTATTATCCTCATTTATAGATGAGGAAGCGGAGCCTCTTGGAGACCGAAAGGTCTGACCAAGGTCACACAGGAGCAGGTGGCTGACCCAGGGAGGGAGGCCATGGCCTGGGCCTTGCCACAGTGTCACCTCGGCCTGCCCTGGGGGGTCACCACAGCAAGGCCCCCTCACACACCTGAGTGCCTAGAAGGCAGGGTCACCACCTTTCCCACCTATGCATCTCCCGGGTCACCTTTCTGCCTTGCTACAGTCAGGGCTTACAAGTTTTGAATGACTGAATTAATGAAAAGGCAAAGAGGAAAGCTGGCGGCTTCACTTTTTAATTGCAGTGGGACGTGAATTGTGTGTCGCTATGAGAAAGACTTTATTCTCTTCACCAGCATCTTCCCCAAAATGCGAAGAGCATCCTGCCAGTTCTTGGAATAGCGGCCCAGTGTCTCCAAGCATGCTCCACATGAAAGGCTCGTGGTGGCAGCGACAGAGGGACTGGGGTGGGGAGGGGAGGTGCTGTGTGTGTTTGGGCTCACTCCAATGCCAGGAAATAAAAACTAAAATTAGGGAGAGAGCCACTTCAGATCAGCAGCAGATCGTGATATAAACCTCCATATTAAAAATGCTTTTCCTTATTACCGAACTGAGTTTCTGGCAGAGCCTGAGATGTCCTAGCACTTGTGTCTCTGCTCGTTTTCACTTTGATTTTTAAAGGGAGTTGGAAGCAGTTAACTATCCAGGCTGTGTGGGTGAAGAAAATGCTTGCAAGATTGACTCTGTGGGTTTGTTGTTGGATATATTTCTTCTTCCTTTTCTTCTTTTAAACATCTTCAGTCTTTCTCCACTTCTTGAGGCCTTAGAATCACCAAACTTACTTCTTAGCTCGAGGGGTCAGTAGAGACTACGTGGCTTCATGCCCTCATTTTATGGAAAGCCTCTCTGGAAGGCCAAAGGGAAGGTGATTGGCCCAAGGTCACTCAGTGACTTCAGGGACAGCTGGGATCAAAACCTTTGACTGCAAACCCCCATCCGGGGCTCTGTCCTCTCGAGCTTCTAACTATACACTCTTTACTTACCCTTGTTCTCAGGTTGGACTCTGCCTGAAATGAGCTCTAGCTGAAGTCATGGCCTGACATAAAACAGTGGCTTGGGCTCCTCAGCCCTCATTCTTTGGAGAATCATCTTTCCCCCATTCTACAGTCATCAGTGTGGTTCAGATGGAACTACTGTGACCAGTCAGAGTGGTTGACTGGGAGGGGCTCAGGGCTGGGCCAATCAGAGTCTTCTCTGGGACTTTGGTGGAACTTCTAGGGATGACCATCATTTTCTCTAGCTTTGGAACAATCAGGAAAATAGAGGCCCAGAGCTGCCACGTGGAGAGAGCCTTTTGGAGGATGAAGACAAAGACAGTTGAAAGATGGGGAAACAGAAATCCCACTGACATCATTTGAACCTCTGGGCCTATCCGTGCTGGAAGAAATTGCTCCCTGGGACTTGCCAGAAACACAAGTGAATACATTTTCCCTTTGTGTATCAAGCCAGTTTGAGTTGGGTTTTGATCGTTTACAAATGAAAGAAGCCCAGCTCACACACTTCAATAAACAAGTTCCAAAGACTGACCTGTTGGAAAGGGCAATTCTGGGTCTGCGTGGGGCGGGTCAAGGGCCTCCCGCCACACCCTCATTACCAGCTGGTATGTGAAAGCAGGAGCTAGTTGCAGTTCCAGTGGAGCCCGTGTGTAAATATATTTACTAGCAGGCAGGCCCTACAGCTGTCCTAGAACTGTTAAGTGACTCCGTGCAGGTCCAGTCCTCTATTCTGTCAGGGCCTCCTACAGCAGACATGTCCATTTTCTAGCTGGAGGATTCAGCAAAACTTCTTGATACAGTCCAGTAACCAATCCTTCTATAAGCACCTGAATGGAAGACTGATTTGGAGTCCTAAATCTTGGGCAGCATTACAAGGGCTAAAGATCATAAAGGCTAAGCGTTCTGGGTTCCTAAAAACTACGTGAGCATCCATGGAAAATTGTTTCCAACATAGATCGTGCTAATTTTAAAGTCTCTGGTTTTAATTAGAGGTAAAGACAGCTAAAACACTTCTAGATGGTTCTACAGAAGATGAATTTTTTTAAATAAAATTTTTATTTTGAAATAATTTTAGACTTAAAGAAAACGTACAAAAATAATACAGAAAGTTTCCATATACCCCTTGCCCACTTTCCCCCAACGTTGCTTTGCCTCCCACGGATTTGTCACCCTTTTCCCCTGGGTGACGGAGGCACCAAAGGTTACTCAAAGCCCATCTCTTCTGAGCAGTGAGAAGCCTCAAAAAGGGGTTAATCTCCCAAAACCCTCAAGAGCAAGGCTTTCCTTCCATTTGGGAAATTAACCACTTGCCCCAGGACAGCCCCGAGAAGCCCACACCCCGTGGGTGTCTCAGCATCCTGAGGACCACCACGCACCCATGCAAGATGCTGGGGCTGCCCCGCCTCCGCACACGTCCGGAACCTGCAGTCTCCACTGCTTCATCCCAGAGGCCTTGGCCACCTGCCACAAATGACAGGGCCGTCCAGGCCAGCAGGAACCTAGTCGGGGGGCCTGGGCCATGGTGAGGACTCCACCCCCTCTCCCTGCCAAGCACAGACCCTCCTGAGTCATGACGTGTCCCTTGGATGCTGTGAAGAGAAAGCAGAGTCAGCCCCAAAAGAAGCCCCTGGCCAAGGGGCACCCAACAGAACCAGGGACAGTGGGTGATTGCCAGGCTGCAGCAGCCCCAGGGCCGTGGGAGCCCAGGGAGGCATCCAGCCCCGACCCGGGAGCAGGTGAGCGGTCAGGGGAGGCTTCCTGGAGGAGGTGTGACAGACGGCCCACAGATGGAGTTAGCCAAGGGAAGGGTCCTCGGGCAAGGGGTGCAGAGGAGCGGAGGGGAAGGAGGCCAGGTGGGGCCAGGTGTCGCAGGAGTGGGCGTGGCTGTGTAATGGAGCATCTGCTGTACCCCAAGGGCAACTCAGGAGCCCTTGAAAGCCGTAAGTGGGAGGAACAAGGTCAGAAATGTGTGTTAGATGAAGTGGGGGAGGCCTGCAGGTGCCCTGGGGGAAGCAGGCAGGCCGGGAGGCTGGGGCAGGTGTCCAGATGAAAGATGAAAGAGAGGGGGGAAGACAGGACTCCAGGGAAAATGGAGGGAGAATCAGCAGGAGTTGGAGGCTGATTCCACGAGAATCCATGCGGCACCGAGAAGACCAGAATTCTAGCCAGGAGGGCCGAGGGGACAGGGTAAAAAAAGGGGGGGGGGGCGGGGGGTAGAAGGTGGTAAGTCTGTGGGACACAGCTGACACTCTGGGAGAGGCTGGAGCTTCCAGTGTAGAGCGCACCCCTGTGCCCCACAGGAAGGGGACGGCCTTCGTGCCCACTTCACAGATGAGCAAAGTAAGGCCACACACCATTAGTGAGGGGCTGAGCCCCAGCTGAAGTCCAAGCAGAGGGGAGGGAGGGGAAGAGGACCAGGGGCGTTTCCCCAGCCCCACCCCCAGGAGCTGGCTGGCTCTTTCCTGAGCCAGGAAGGATGGGAGGGAGGAGGCGGCGACAGGGCCACTCCTGGTGGCTGAGCGGACCAGCCAAGGGTGTGAAGGTGGAAGCAGAATACTTGGAGGAGAGAAGCTGGACCGAGTGCCCTCGCGGCTCCTTTCAGATCCGCCTTCCCAACCAGGGGGAACCAGGCCTGGGCGTAGAATGGCTGCGCGCAGCTGCGTGGCTTTGGCCGGGCCACTCTCTGGGCCTTGGGGTGACTTGAGAGCCGGACCAGGGATCCCAAGGCCCCAGAGAAGGGAGAGACCCTTGTGAACTTTGGAGGCCGGCCCGGCTGGGGAGGGACGCCCTGTTCTTTCTTCCAAGACGTCCAGGCCAATGTGCGCCCCGAGGACGCCTCCTCCAGGCAGCCCCGGGGCCTGCGAGCCCTTCCCCCC